TTTTTTTTTTGTCACCGCTTTAGTTTCAAAAAAGTAAACAGATTTTTATAAACATTTCCCGGGAATTTTAGGGCAGACGTTATAGTTTTTTCTGTCGTATACAACAAGAAAAAAGTTTTTAAAAATACCTTAGCAGGTCTTTCAAACGATGATAAGGACAGTTGCATAAAACAGTTGTTGTTTGCGCATGCCTTGTGTCATCAGTCATTTCGTGATGTTTAGCGTGTACTGCGTTTTGTCGTGTTAAACATTTTGACCTTACCACTAGCCAGTTGCTCGTCCCTGTATACCACATATTTGTTAAATCCTACCTGAACGATGAACCTCAACGACTTTCCCGACCTGATTTTAGTAAGACTTTATAGTTTTCTATTTCTAATCAACCAATTTTTTTTAAAATATTAGCAGCAAAAAGAAAAAAAAAACAATGAACGTAAACGGATTTATGCCAGAATGATGATACCATATGGTATTTTCTGTCACTGTGTATCTATTAGTTAGACGATTATTTAACCGTAAATCATGTAGAAGACATATAAAATGTCTGTGTTGAAAATATGAAACAGTAATTTTAATGAAGCTTCAGTAATTAAATCTAGCACATTTTTTAGATTGAAATTTTTGCTTGTCTACCGGCTGTAGACCGTTTATCCGCTGAAATGGTATGCCACCGGTGGAATACGCTAGTAAAATGTCATGCCTGGAAGCACAAAAAGTGCAGCAGTATAGAGTTTTACTGTTCTGATGTGAATAAAGAATATGCAAATGTACAGGTAATAACTTCATTGTGGTCGCACTACCGTTATAATTGTTATTTATACATTGATAGAAACGTATCAAAACTAGTTTCAGCTCCATTGTTTCAACTTTAATTTCAGCACTGTACAGCTTTTTCATTGATATAATTTAGAAATTTTTTAGCTCTTCATTTATTTAGATAATCACTTGCTTACGTCGTGCTGGTCATTTCCTGAAAAGGTTAAAGATATCGTTTTCGAAATATCCATTGAAATCGCCTGATGAATGGATTAGAGTTTTAACTGAATGTTGTCCTAATGTAAAAATTCTGGATCTGGAAATTGAACTACGTTCATCGCTGGAACTCTTAAGTGTAATTGGTCCAAATTTGGAAGCGATAACACTGAGGTCCTGTTTTACAGGGGTAATTTTACAAAAATGTTACTATTTTAGTGGACGGCTGAATCCGAAACATACATCTGTCACTTTTTAACAGGACATTAGGGGACTGTTTCTGAGTATTTCGTTATAATGGAAAAAGCCTGTATTGATTCTTTACTGGTATATTTTCTTCTAGCGATTTTCGAGGGTATTTCGAACTTTACGGATTAACTATTGCTTCGATAGCAGTACAAAAATTTTGCTGGAACGATGTGAAAGGCTTAAAAAATTAAAACTCAAGGATAATACAGTTCTTTTTGCACATCAATGTCTTCAAGTGTTACCAACGACGCTTACCTCTTTAGATTTGAGAGGTACAACACTTGAGATGCAGTCTCTGATTCGATTTCTTCAGAGGTAAGTTTTAAGTTGCTATCGTTTATCTTTTACTCTGTGGATATTTGTTGCCTATTTGTACTATGAGCTTTTGCCTATTTTCAGGCCTTCAAACCTTAAAAAATTTTGTTTCTGCTGCGACGATTTCAGTACTAGGCCAGAATTCGACGAATTTCTTCACTTAATTGTGCTGTGAGTTGACAAAATTTTTATAACGTAATTTCGTTTCTCACTATTCTTTTTATTCTGGGTGAGGAAAAGATGGGGATTATCAGTTCTGGCATTTAGGGATCCTAAATCTGTAAATGAACACATATTTTGTTCCTCAAAACTGTGAAAGTATTTGAGTTAGCGTTTCTGGTCATCATCTACTCAAGTTAGACTACCTAATTCGTTTACCTGTGTTGCAGGCAGAAAGAACTGACGGAATTTAAAGTCACTCTCAATGATTTTAGAAATATCGCTGATATTAACAAACTGCTTTCCTACTCACAAAAGTTAGTTAATTGTGATTTTGCGGAACTGTTAAATAATATTCTAAGTATTTCCAAAATTATTTAGTCTTACGAGGTTAACTATTATCACCCCTCAAAATGACATCGATAACAAAATGCTGATTGACTTCTGCAGTTGCGGAAGATTAAGATATCTTAAGTTGAAAAGCAAGGATTCGTACTGTCCGGTTAACAATGCGGTAACTTTTTTATTTCACAATTCCGAATTTCTTGTTGAATTTAACTCTATTTTGGAAAATACAGCCTGCATCTCTAATTGTACTGAAATGCTTTTAATGTAGATATTCGTTTTCATAAATTAAGCATCAGTGGTTGTATCCACAGTCAACAGTGCTTGTTACGGGTTCAGCTTATTCGTTCACACCGATGACTCACTAAGAAAAAAGTAACCTGATGGCTAAAAATTTTAATCTCAGTTTCTGGATTAATTCTCTGTGTTTCAATAATAATTTTTTATAGAAATTTTAGTTCTTAAATTATCTTTTAAATTATGTGTTTAAAAATTTAAAAATTGAAAATTAAGACTTCATAACAGTAATTTATAGCTAAATAAAGAGCTCTTTATTTTAGACTTTATACTCGTTATAAAGGATAATAAGGCCAATTTTTAGGCTAATTTATGATATGAAGTGGTCTTTTTGATTCGGTAATTAGCAAACACTGAATGGCTATTTTTGGCATCACAATTACTAATTATGCTAGAAACTAGCGCAAGTTCTGTTTTCCAAGTAAAGTTTGTTTGCAGACTTTACTCTCACTATCATCTGAATGTTCACAACTTCGGTTCTTTCAAATAGAGCATAACTGTTGTCAGTTGGAAAATGCCAAAGCGATGGCGACTTTGAATCAACTGCAGCATCTCCATTACCTTGATATATCAAACACATTATCTGTCAATGACAGTGTTGTGCAAAACTTTGCTACTATTACCACCTTGGAGGTACCGTTAGGAACTGTTTATTGGTGTAAAACTACTAACTTTTGAAAATCAGTCAGAATTTTTTTTTTTAATCCTCTAATCCACACAAGAATTCTTCGTCTTTTTGAACCGTACAGTGTTTAGGTACTGAAGGTCGATGGTTGCATTGCAGTTACCGATGCAGGAATTTCTCCAGTTATACGAGGGTGCAAAGTATGTCTTTAAATATTCTTATAAATAAATAGCGTGACAAATAAACACTTTTCTTCTTTTCTTTGTATGGAAGATGAAAAAAAGATTTGAAAAGTTGATCCTTCCATGATTTCAGAAATTGAGTCGATTAAGTTTTAAAGGGTGCCGAATGATTACCGACGAGTTGATCAAGGAGTTACAGAATTGTATAAATCAGAGGCAGGAACCGAAAGTACTATTAAGTGATTTGAAATAATTTCAGATAACATTTTTTGACTTGACAGAAGTTTTAGTTTGTAAGGAAAATACTAAGTATTTTTCATTTTAGAAAGTTTTTATTTTTTTGTGGACTTTTGGTAGTTCAATCACCGTTCCTGAAGTCACCTATCCATTTATTCGCTTGCTTAGCGGATCAACAGACAGCCTTAATATGAAGTTGTTCCGGAAACAGTGTACGGATTAACTGCTTCGTAAAGGAAATTCGAAGGTTGATTTTTTGTAGTTACTCCTTAAGTTATTATTGGTTTACGGAGTGTTACCCACTGAAATCGCCTCAGCGACTTAAGAGTCTTCGTTTTTGGTATTTACTCTTCGTTGACACATATCGTTAACATAAAAAGCTTTATTTTTTGCGATCTAATGCTATATAGAGCATATGCTATTGCTCTTCGAAATAAGTTTAATCATCTTATTCAATAAATATGTTGTTTAAATTTCGTAACCTATTGATTGATTTTTTTCTTAGTTGTTATGTTCAAATTGGGATAATTCTGGTAACCAGCTGTACCTGTATTAATGCAAATTATCTCAACTATTTTCTGTGATCTTCATCTCTCCTTATTGTTTGCTACATCAAAACTATATGGTTGTTTTATCTTTGAAAAAATAAAATGGCGAAGTTGAAAGTGAAGAAGAATAAGTTTTGGAGCTTAAAAGGAGACATAAAACTGGTCTTAGCAGCTCTATATTTCTAATGCTACTATCTCGTCAACTCTGAACTATTTTTTAAGGGAATGCTGGAGTAAACCGTTTTTATTCATCGTCTAGAATTGGCCTCACTTAGCTGACTTGCTTATGGATAAGTTAAATTATGAAGTCCTTGATCATTATAATTCCCCTGGAGTTACATGAGGGTGAGAACGGCTGGGTTGCAAGAAAAAAAGGCCATTTGACTTCTAATCGCATGTCATTGAAAGTCAGTTTCTAAAAGCTTAAATTTTGCTGTTTATTAAAGTACCGCTATGGTTGTGGAAACAGGAGAGTTTGTACATGAACTCTGGGTTGGCAAAACAGAATTGCTGTTCTTCACAGAACTGAGAATCTTCATATCTGCTTGATGATCTTTCTTGGCACTGCTGTGCTTTTGACTGGGTGACTCACCAAATTTAGAAATATCAAAATAAATGCTGTTTTAGTACCGAAACTTGCTGGTAAAAACTGTGGGAAAATTTTAGATTCTGACTAGATATAGTTGCTCTACTTAGTATTATCTAATGAAATGGGAATACAATTCAGTCTCACTGTAGCTCAGTTATGAGTTTTTTTAAGTATCCGTTCAAAAGAGTCATATTAGATAGATGTTACAAATACAATTTTCCAACCAAATTGTTTCTTTTACTAAGCTTCTTCATCGCTTGTTAATTATTTAGAATTGTTGTAAGGTTTTTAGTATTATTTTTGATTAGCATTTCAGTAGTTTACCTTGAGCAGAAAATAAAAGACTGGGTTATTTCTTTTTCCTTTCACTGCCCGGTTTTTTTTTTTTCGTTTAAGATACTCAATATTTTGTTGGTTTTTACGCGCTTGCTACTGAGAAAACGGATTTAAAAAACGATTTCTATATTCAAATAAGCGATCTTTTCGATAATGCGGTAATCATCGTTGTCGTAAATGACCTCTGAACCGCAGCAACACTACTGCGGCGTGCGGGTTCAGTGACATACTTTTACAACTTAATTTTCTTGCTTGATTTATTTTTTGAAGACGAGAAATAAAAGCTTT